AAATCGAACGGTATAAAGCGAAAGCCTCCAGGGGATAAATTATCATTGTTCATGCCGCTAACCCGCAGCGCCGCCAAGTCCTCCACTCTCGGGTCCTCGACCCAACCCTCTGACTCCAAACCGGTGAAGTCAGACATTGACATCGCACCGGCTTTGCCCACCTTCGATGAACTCCAGGATGACGTCCCTGTTTATGGCCGCGACGCTAAGACCTTACGCGACGCTACATCCTCGGCTATTAGCCAAGTATGGAATGACTCCAGGGCTACTGCCGCGTTTCTTTCTTCTAAGATCAACGAAGGGAACAGGGCGCTCACTCAGCGGTTGAATGAGTCCTTCATTGCCGTTGGGAAACGACTGGACAACCTTCCCCTGATAGCCATGTTCCAACCAGATGTCCATGGTTCTCGTATTGTTCCCTTCACTGGATATAACGAGGACGGGGCCCAATTTTCGGTATGGCTACGCCGTCTCGAAGATATAATGCGTATGCGACCCACGACCCTCACTGAAGAGCAGCAAGCTAACTTCCTGATAGGTCACCTAGAAGGCGTTGCTCGCGAAAAGGTAGAGGAGCTGGATGGCGACGCACGAAAGTCTTATGGAACCGTAGTCTCCCATCTGCGCTCTTTTTTTNTTTTTTTGAAAGCCCTCAGCAACGTTACGTGGCTCGCCAGAAGTTATCTGGCTGCCGCCAGGAGTCGGGCGAATCGTGCACGGCATTCGCCAACAGGGTTCTGAACCTAGTCCGCGCGGCGACTTCGGGGCAGGACCTAGCAACTCAGAAGGAAAGGGTTCTTGAGGAGTTTGTCGCGCGTCTGCGGGGAGATGTGCGCTACTTCGTTAAATTGGAGAATCCCACCACTTTTGAACAGGCTGTGACAAAAGCCCAAACCGTCGAGCAGCTTCTCAGCGAGGCCGCGGCGGAACGTCTCTTACATCCTACGACGTCCCCCGCTACCATACAAGTTCTATCCCGAGGTGACCAGGGGTCAGGTCAGCCACGTAATCGAAACCCGTCACCCCGAGAGGCGCCGCCACGTGGACCCCCGCGCCCTCGTTCCACGGTTCCTGCTGCTCCAGTCGGACAATACCAACGATCCGCTACAGGAAATGCTCGCCTTGGGTCGGGACAGCGATGTTTCAATTGCAACGGCCTAGGACATTTTGCATCGGTCTGCCCCTCACCACGAGGAGCTCTATCTCTCCGATCCCCTGCGCCACTTACTCCGGCTACGCGAAGATTCAGTAACTCTCGTCGCTTCCCAGCCGCTAACTTGTTGTCGTTGACTTCACGCTCCACGGCTCCCGCCGCGGATAACTGTTTTGGTGTGACCCTCCCGACCGAACCCTTGAGCAAGGTCACCCAACTATCGGCATCTCTTGAGGACACTCAACGACAGCTCCGCAACTCTCAAGCCCGCATAGAGGCGCTCTTACAGCGGAATGATGAGTTGGCCCAATCATCCATGGATCAAACGATGTCACCGCAAGCTCGAGTTTCCGGATCGCCTCTTCCGGACGTTCGCCTCTTGCTCTTCACGGCTGTCACAGTCTGCCTGTTAGTGAGCCCAGGCTCGGCTATGGCAGCGTGGCTGTGTCCTCCCGATCATCCAACCACTTTTTTCGTTCCACGGCAACTTTACAACTGTTCGGCCTTTTTGCCAAACAATTCGGTGTCGGCGTATAGGCTGTCCCTCAACCTCTACCGCCCTAACACTAAACTGTACGTTACGCCCGCGGCTCTTTGCAAGATCATCCGACACACAGTGACGTATTCCGTCAATTTCTTCGGAGTTCGGAAGGAATTTCATCAGGAGACCAGCCTAGCGGTTTCCGAGGGGGAGTGCAGGCAGATGACCTTGCACCATCGCTGCGCTCACGGCGAATTGGCGGCAACATCGGGCGTCTGGCGCACTCAGCATTCGATGAATTTCTCGTATCCTTCCGCTCCCTTCGGCTGTTGCGTGGAACATGTCAAAGAAGTAACAAACTGCTATATGTTCACTACTACCGTCCATATCCGCCATTCAGACCCCGCACCTCAGTCGCCCGTCGGTGACTTGTCAGCGTGTTCCTATAAGGAGGGATCATGCACTCTGGCGGACGGATCTTTGCTCACATGGTCTCCGGACGTCGACGAAGAATGCGCATACATCCCCGTTTCCCGCCTAGCCGGCCACCGGCTCGGCCATCTATGGATCAGCGAAGACAAGGAGTTCGCTTTGTCGTGGTCCGATCAGTCTCTCGTAATCGACGACTGCGCCAAACAACTCACTGTAACGGATCAAGGATATGCCATAGCGCCCACACGAAGACACCCCCGTGACACCAACGCCAACGTGGGCTTAGTAACTTCTAACCAGCTGGCGGCCCAACTCCTAGCGGTTGAAGGTGCCACGTACTCCGCCGTAAGCACTCTCTTTCGCAACGCGTTACAGGTGCTATGCGACCGTACAAACGTTCTTGCGACAGCCTTACACACCGCATTACTCACTCAAACGACGATCACAATGCGCGCACTTCTTGGAAGGGAGGATATCGCAGCGTCCTATATGGGCGACGGGTACGTACAGGTTCAGCGGTGCATAGAGTTGTCCTCTGTTAAATTGGTGCCTTTTAACGGGACTTGCTACGCTTTACCACGCATTGAAATCCGCCTTCCAAGCGGCTCCTCACTTCGGACGTTCTTTGACCCGGTAACACGGATAGTGCAAAGAAATGCGAACATCATCAGCTGCTCCGAGGTTTCGCCCCTTGTATTCCATTTAGCCGACGGTTTCCATAGGTTCTCTCCACTCGACGGTTCCTGGACACCCTTAGCTCTAGGTACAGTTTCAACTCTTTCATCCTTCTCTCAACCGTTTTCTTTCACGCTCGATCCTCCTCTCACAATTTTTCACAATTTAGTGCTAACCAACTTTAGCGAAACCTCAGGCGGTAGGCAACTTCAAGAACTATGGGCGGCACGTGATCATTCCCGCCTAGTCCAATATTTTGAACACGTAGGATTATCAGCAGAACCTGACCACTCGGCAGCAACCGTGAGTCCGTTACCATTAAAGTTTTTTTCGTTTTGGTCCTTTTCAATTTATGATTATTGGATTTCCTTTTGTGGTTTTTTGGTAACAGTATCATTTGTAAAGTCCCTCATTGTCCTGTATTTTCGTTTGTACGCTCCATCATGGCATGAACGCTTCTTTAGCTACGCCTCACCCAGACCCCAACCCCCCTATGCACCTCCGCTCTCCCCGGCTGTCACTCCGGCAGTGACCTCACACACCCCACGGCCGTTCGAGCTCGATATATCCCAAATTGAAATTGATACGGCAAATAACTGGCCACCCCGCGCCTCGGTGATTTCCGGTATGGTCTTGTCAGTAACCAGCCATCGACCCTTCTTTGTTACACAGATCCCCATCCGCGTCAATGGCGTGCACATGCTGGGTCTTGTGGATACTGGCGCCGGGGTCACCATAGCGAGTCAGTCCCTGCTCCCGCTTTTGGGTGTGTTCCACCTAGGCCCCTGCACGGTTCCAGCAGCAGTAGGCATGGCGGGGATCCCAGTGAAATTCGTGGGCGCTACGGCGGTTTCTATCCAAGTCGGCAGTCACCTCATCGACCACAATGTCCATTTTACCGAGGCAGACTGCGTTCCTCGCGCTGCAGATGCTTACAATGTAATACTAGGCAACGATTTTCTGCAGCGGCTTCCCAGTTGGCTCCTGAGCTACCAGCAACGGATCTTCCTCGTGGGAGACGACCCTGTTCCCATTCTTACTGCGGGTCCGGAGGGGGCAGTTCCCAACAGCTCCTCGACGCCTAGCTCACTTGTGGTCCGCGCAGCTTCTACGGTGGTCCTACCCCCTGCATCTGAAATTTTCGTGCCGTGCAAGGTGGTCCAAGCGGGATCCCGAGTCTCCACAGTACTGACGGAAGGGTCCGTCCTTCCCGAGGACGATATTATGGTCGCTCCGACGGTTACAAAGGCTAACCAGGCCCGCTTGCTACTGAGCAACCCTACTGACACTCCCAAAATTATCTACAAAAACAGACGTCTAACGTCGGCACGGCCGGTTCTGGAACTTCCCAATGGCACCGTACTCGAGCTTCACCAGCGTTTTTAGCACCTTTTGTTTACCCATCGGATCACCGGAACCGACACCACCATCTACTCCATGGACTCTGGACTTATCACATGCCGACGTTACCACCGAACAACGTCAACAACTGTGCGACCTTTTTACAGAATTCCAAGATCGCATTTCTACGTCATCCTACGACCTAGGCTCCTACGACCATACTCAGATAACTATTAAAACCACGTCGGAGATACCACCCTCTCGATACAGGCCTACCCGTATTCCCGCCCGCTTCCAGAAGGAACTCGACGACCACATCAACAAACTTTTGGCAGCTGGTCGGATAGTCGAGAGCGATACCCCGTGGCTCCACAACACGGTTTTGGTCAAAAAGAAAGATGGGTCATTGCGGGTTTGCTTAGACTTCCGCCCACTTAATGACATCACCGTTCCCGACCGTTACCCGCTACCCCGGATTGAAGACCTGTTGGAACGGGTCGCTGGTAAAAGATACTATACCTCTTTTGACTTGGCTTCCGGATACATGCAACTCTTGCTCTCTCCTGAAAGCCAAGCCAAATGTGGATGGGCGACCCACCGAGGCATATACCAGTTCGTTTATTTGCCGTTTGGACTTCGTAATGCGGGTGCCTACTTCTGCAGAGCGATGTCCCGGATTCTTGCAGGGCTTGACAACAACTGTTTGGCCTACCTTGATGATATCATCGTCTTTGACAGCGATTTTGACGCGCATTTACAATCCCTCCGGAAGGTGTTGGAACGCTTTCGAATATTCAATATCAAGGTCTCCGGCAAGAAATTAACCAGCATTGCCCAGTCTAAGATCACCTTCCTGGGACACGAGATTTCAGGCGCGACCTACGCACCCGCGGAGCGCAATCTTCAAGCCATTCGGGATTTACCAGCCCCCACCACAGTCAAGGCCGTTAAAGGCTTCTTAGGGATGGCCAACTTCTTTCGAAAATTTATTAAGGGCTTCGCCTCTATAGCGGCGCCTCTCTACGCCCTGTGCAAAAACGGCGTCGACTTTCGATGGGGCGAGGCTGAAGCAGCGGCCTTCACTCTCTTAAAGGAAGCATTAATAAGCCGGCCTTGCCTGGCCTTCCCCCAGGATAAGGAATTCATACTTCATACGGACGGCAGCAAAGTAGCGGTGGGCGCGGCGCTCCTACAGATTCACGACCCCAGTTCACCCCCAGTGGCCATAGGGTACTTTAGCAAGACCTTGTCGCCGTCTCAACAAAAATGGAGTCCCACCCACATCGAGCTATTCGCTATGATCAGCGCCCTTCGTTTTTTTCGACCCACCATATACGGCAATCATACGCGAGTATTGTGTGATCACCAGCCACTTACCTTCCTGCTTCGACACCGTAAGCCCCACGACAATCTCGCCCGCTGGGTTGTTGAACTCCAAAGTTTCGACATAACCATAGAATACCACAAAGGGTCATCTAACGTCGTAGCGGACCATCTGAGTCGCCATGCTTCCCCGGATAATCGGTTCGTCGACGGGACGCCTGCCAGTGATGACATCATCGAGTTTCCCCGGTGCCTCGTTCAGCGGGCACTTCGGCCGCGATCCAGTCCAAATACGTCGGCAACCTTGACACCTCCGTTATACATCCGCCCTTACGATGCTCTCTTAGCACAGAAACAGGACCCCTTGTGCCGCACCATTATGCACGTCTTAGACACCAACACATTCCCGCCAGAAACACCCGATAAATTGCGCGATACTTGCAATGGGTTACTTGATCATTGTGTCATCAAATCGAATGGGTGCCTTTACTTTGTAGAAACATCAGCTGCCCCCAACCGCCGCCAGCGCGAGGCGATTTTCGTGCCACAGTCCCTCCGCGAACCCATTTGTGTAGCACTACACGATAGCCCAACGGCAGGGGGACATTTCGGATGGAAAAAGACGCTAGCGAAAATCTCGCGACGCTTCTTCTGGCCTACAATGAGAGACGATGTGTTTCGGTACGTTCGTTCCTGCGACGCATGCCAGCGGAAACGACCGCACCCCTACACACGCGAAGCACTTATCCCGGTCCACACAGGTGCTATCTTCGACAAGGTTTACATGGACCTTAGCGGACCTTACCACCAATCTTCGCACGGCAATAAATATATTCTTTGCCTCATCGACCATTTTAGCAAGTACGTGGTAGCTGTCGCTCTCCCAGATTCCACAGCCATTACAGTGGCCCACGCCATAATGACTCACTGCGTACTCATTTTTGGGGCAATGACCACACTGGTTTCGGACAATGCCTCCTACTTGAGGGGAGAACTTCTCACAGAGTTGGGTAAACTCCTTCATATCGGTCGTTACTTCACCACTCCCTACCACCATGAGGGAAACGGCGCATGCGAACGTATGTTCGCAACATTCCAAGAAATGCTTCGCACTTATATTAGCTCTAACCAAACGGATTGGGACCAATTCTTACCAGCATGTACGTTGGCGTACAACACATCAGTCCACGCGTCCACGAATGAGTCCCCTTTCTTCCTCATGTTCGGGCGTGACCCCATCCTTAACATCGATCTTCTCATCAGGCACCAGATGGAAGGCCATATACCGTCCGATGACGATTGTGGCATGTACAAGGAATCCCTAGTACGGACTCTTCACGCTTGTTGGACCGCAGCCTCCGCCTTTAATCAGAAGCGTAGTGAGGCGATGAAGCGTCAGTACGATAAAAACGGTCTCCCACCATTGGATATTAAGATCGGCGATAGGGTGTACCTCCGGGATTACACGCCCAAGCCAGGCCTTTCCCCAAAACTGTGTTATCCTTGGTTAGGGCAATTTCGAGTGCTGGCAGTTGACCACCCTCACCTCACCGTTACTAGCATTACGTCCCCTCAGGCTAAACCCAAACGCGTTCACATGAACCAGGTCAAGCGTTGTTACACATTATCCGGACCGGTTTTCACCTCTCCCTGGGTACCCGATACAGAGCAAGCGATGTTGGAAGCGGCCTCAGCAGCCACAGTAACGATGATAGGTTATAATCATACTCTCCCTCTTCAGCAACAGATTAATTCAGCAAAACGAATCCGTCCAACACATAAATATAACACACGTTTTAGGGCTCGCTTATCATCGGTTTGATACAACAAGGGCACAGACTCTGGCCCGTTATTCAATCACGATTTGATCATCCGTTTATTCTTATACATCACACTTTTTCTTCATATTTGTCCAATCAAGGTTCTCCTAGTTGTCGCCCATTAGTTTCGTCACATATACATCGTCCCTTCTCCTTCATTTCGTCCGCTTATTCGATCGTCCGTCGCTGGTCAATCTCGTGTTCCGATACAACGCTTCCCTAGTTCACCTCCCTTGTTTCAGATAGGCTCTGTAGTGATGGCCTCACGCCAGCCAACGAGCCAAACTCGCTGCCCGCAAGACGTCCAGGCACACGACCGCGACAATTCCCAACTCCCGTCCACGCAAGAGCGCACATCCGGTAGTTCGGAAACGAATGTCCCCCCGGAATCCAATCCGTCATCGCAGACTGGTCCATGGGTACATACCCAGAGCTCTGAATCCGTTCGTCCAGCTGAGGAGTCCACGGCTCCTTCTCTACATCAGCCCGAAATGGACACGCCTCTAGTCCCAGCGAGTGATATAATCCCAGACTCCAACAATAATGATTCAGATCCGTCGGTCGCCATTCAACGTTTATCGTTGGGCACTGGCCCATCTCAACCGAGTCCCATTCCTGGTCCGTCACATTCAACATCAGCTTCACCGCCGGATAGTTCTACGAAGCCTAGCTCTTCTCGTAGCACTGCATTTTCTCAGTATCGTGAACCTTCTGTGACTCAACGACGCGTATCTTCGCCATCGCCACCGGCACCAAAACGTCCTCGACCAGCTGTTTCAGAACCAATCCTTCGAGGTATCCAGCCTCATCCCGCCTATTCTCCACGGTATGTCGAGACTCCCGAAGACTACAGCAACGAGTTTTCGCATCTTCATCCTTGGGCCAACTACGTTGCAGTGCGTCCGGAATGGCCAGCTCTCACGGAGGACATGATCACCGGTCTCTTGCCTCTTCACGTGTATCGACAAGTACCGCACAATGGATACTTTGGAGGATCCTTCGCTAGATCACTGTTTCCCCGCCGATTTGTGGGCTCGCCATCTCCATCGAACCCCATCCCTCTTTTCGAAACCATCCGACTGAAGGATATCGTCGCCTTCCGGCAGCACGCCGATCGAATCATCACCGATCTCCTCGATAACCGCTATCAGGACAAGGCCGCCGATGTCGCACAGCTACCACAGACTCCACGAGGCGCACCCGAAACATGTCTCTTGCCACCTACACTCGAAGGAGGCTTCCGTCCCGTTCTGTATCAAGTAGTAAACCGTTACTACGGAAATGGGGTGATCCTTGAAGCAAAGGACTTCTTCATACCAGGTCCGGATCACCGAGAACTCCATTGTCTTCCGCTCACGCAAGATTCGGTTAGTTTTTTAACACACACCCGCGGCTTCGACAGAACGGAAGTGTCGGTCAAGGACTTCGTCTGGGTCATTTCGCTCCGTCCGTCCACCCACACACTGGAACAGGAAGATCGCGAAGCGGCACTGCGTCGCGCCCGGAGCCCTCGACCATCGGCAATGGACACGGCCACCCCATTCTTCTTCCACGTCCATGAGTTCATTCTGGTTACGCCGACGCCGCTCCAACGCAACGTCCTCGGAATGGTTTTATCTGTTAAACGACGCGGAATTACACAAGCCGTCAACCATTTCTATGCAGCCTTTGAGGGCAGTCACGAGGCGGTTCGGCTCACGCAGAACGTCTGCTCGTTCCCGATAACACACGTAGAGAGAGAGGATCTTCTCATTGCCGAGACTCGGGTCAACGTTTCTTGTGCAATGAGCTTTTCCCAACCCCCAATTTCGGTAGAGGCCCAACGTATCTTGACGGTAGCAACTCGACGCTTTCTCCCGGCACACCCTAGTGAGGCTCTTCTTCCGCTCCAGGTGTGGCAACTTAGTCAAGAACACCGTGACTGGGTCGATGATCGCCTGGCCGCCTTCACAGGTTACCACTTCAACACGAACCAAGCACGTCGACGTATGGGGAAATTGTTTGCAGTCGCTAGTGCAGCATTGGCATCGCAAGCATTATTTATGGACGACAAACTTACCCACGAAGTCACTGCGTTCGTACCAAACACCAACGCCTTCCCCACTCGTCTTCAAATCGAATTGCGACCGATGACCACCGACGAAGGATGGCTCAAGTCCCGAGGAGTCGACGTTTGGGTTGTGAATTCTACCACCATGACCCGCGCTCAAATTGCGGACGTCCAGTACGACTTCAACACCAAAGTACTATTGGCGGAACTACATGCGGACACGCGATCTCAGCAGAGCTTACGGAACGCAGTACTCCGATACGGACAGTGCAACAGGTGCAACATGACGGCAACAGTGCGCATCTGTGTTCGCCTCACACGACGGCAGACTGGGACTGACCCGATTTTTGAAGCTTTGGCTGGAGAGAACCTCTTCGCATCTCTGAACCCGGCATCTCGCAACCTCGCAAATACTATTCTGGATTTAGTATATGGAAGCAGGCCTCGCGACCCGCGACCCATCCCTGCCCCACCACAACGTAACGTCTCCGTAGTAACCGCATCACGTCGAATACACCTCTGCGACGACCAAGCCCGTGCGGTCTCGATGGGAGAGGGACGATTTCCCCTGCTGGCGATACAAGCGGCATTCGGGACTGGAAAGACCTTAGTTGGCGCTCTGATCGCGGCGCGTCTCGTCACACCTGGTGAACTGGTCATCGCCACCGCAACTACAAACGTCGCTGTCGCGCAATTCACGGAAACACTACTGAGTTTGGATGAATATCGTCACTTGTCGATCTTACGCTTCGTAGCCGATAAATCACGTCAGGACGGAGCTCCAGAGACATCAGTTGACCTCCATACAGTGCTTTTAGGGCTAGCAGCCAATTATTCTGACTCCTTATCGTATCACGACTTGAAACATCTACGGCGATATGAACGCGGGCGTCGTTTGATTGAAACAATGCTATTTCACCCTGAACGGACTGTTAATCTTTCGGATGAGGAAAGAGAAGAATACAAAATAGCGGAAATGCGGAACTCCGACGCCACCGAGCGAGCCGTACGGATCATGCTGCACTTACAATTCCCATCTATATTATGCATGACCACCGCTTCGCTAATGAACTCTACTAAACCCGGTGGACTCTTCTACGACCTTCTGTCCTGTTGCCGAACCATCATAGCGGACGAAGCGTCCCAAATACCTGAGCCCGTCTTCGTTGCGATGGCAGTCCGGTTTCCTCAAGCTCGACACATCTACATCGGAGATGCCCATCAACTCCAACCACACCTGCGTTGCCCCAGGACCACATTAGCGGCGCGATTAGGAGCCAGAGGAGTGATGGATTTGCTGTTGAGTAAGGATGTCCCACTCGCTCCGTTGGTCACCACCTTCAGGGCCCATCCCGCGCTGAACCAGCTTCCGAACATGTTAGTATACGGCAGCACCCTTATCAGTGGCACGCCTCCGGACCGACGTAGTCGCCTCATCCGGCACGTCAACCTTCCGAACCCCAGGATTCCCTTTGTCCTCGTGAACGTTCAAGGTACCTCACGCACTTCCTACTCGCTCTCACATTATAACGAAGAGGAAGCTCAGTGTTGCCAGGATGTTATCAGAGGCTTACTATGGCGGAATGTACCCCCATCAGCTATCGGCGTGATTACGTTCTATAAGGAGCAGTCTACTCGGCTCCGCGACTACACCCGCCGGCAAGGAGTAGCACTCCATACAGTTGACTCCGTACAAGGCAGGGAAATGGATGTAATCATCATTCTCACTACTCGGACACAGCTGGATAGTTCCTCGGGCGAGTTTCTCGACGACATCAAGAGATTAAATGTCGCCTTGACCCGCTGCAAGCATGGCCAATTTGTCTTGGGTCATCTTCGCACTCTCGAAATGCTCCCCAACTGGAGCAGGATCCTGCAGTGGGCCTATCGTAGCAACCTCGCAATCGAGTCCTCCGAATTAGCAGATGTTTTCGCCTAAAAAAAAAA